CAAGCATCACTGAATAGCTTAGACTTTAGTGAACACGAATCTGCTTGTTACCAAGCTTAATTGTTTTTTTAGTTTAAAAGGAAAAAATCGAGGTTTTTCTACCCCATCTACGAACGGCGAAGCGGGTTTTTCACACATCTAATTTAGATATGCGAGAAGCATGTTTTTCCCCATAAGCTACTCTGATTGGTTGCTGGAAAATGTATGAGCCAATCAGAGAGCAACCGAATCATAACCCCTCTGACAATCAACAAGGAAGGACTTTATGTATTGTGTTCAAAGAGGTTAAATCAAGTGTAAACAGAGTTATTCGAGCATAAACGGACAAGAAAATTAAATTGGAAAAAAGAAAAGTCAAGGGAAACCAAGTATGTGTAATATTTGACTTAAATATTAAAAAAATAAACAAAAACGTCATTTTATCAGCCTTTCTTCGCACTGTTGTTTTTGTTTTTAACATGAGTTATATTCTACTTTAGTTAGTTACTTACGTTATATGTTTAGTTTAAAGCTTTAAAACTAGCTTGGGTATAGTTTTATTTACTTTTTGAGATTTTTATGAGCATTGATTCGCGCTGTTGGACTTGTATTTTACTTATTTTTACGAGTTATTTCTAGTTTAGTTTTAGATAATTTAAGCTTTAAAGCTGGTTTGGTATAATTTTATTTAATAATCCAAGTCATTGACAACATGATATAAAGTTTGTTTATACTTACGTTAGTTTTTTAGATAATTTAAGCTTTAAAACTGGTTTGGTATAATTTTCCAGTAGCTACTTGAAAAACAAAATGCCAGCCAGGATACTTCTACACTTTGTCTATTCTGTGATTATATGAAATGATTTTGCATGCTTGTGATGCGGTTTCCAAGGGTTTTAACATGGTTTTATAGTACGCTGTAGGGATACAGATGTTTTGTTGCTTTTAGTTTACGCAAAACAACGAAAATGCTCATGAAATTACTGAACGCCTATCAGCCCATTATTGATAATATTTTAGGATTTCACTCTTTAACAGGGTGTGATACGACCTCATCTTTTACAAAATAATTGTAAAGCGAAAAGTTTATAAAAAAATTGTTAAAAAATTTGTAAAAAAATTTTGTAAAAAAAATTGTAAAGTGGTTTGGAAAGCAAAAATGTTGGAAAGTTTTTGAGCAATCCATATTTAATTCAAAATCTTCGCAGAGACAGTTCGCAAAACGACACAGAAGAGTTTGTTTGTCGGTTATATCGAGTACCGAATATAGATGCTGGAGAAAATAAATGCATGTCGAACAACAAATCCGTCTATACCGTCTTCATGTAAAATTTGATTTCTTAATTGTGGTTGCACTAAAAAATGCCATACGGGTGCTTGTATTAAACGCTGTAAAGCTAGTCAGCGTTGCACTCCTGTGATGTTCCTGTGATGCCCTAGGATGTAAGCAACCTTACAGCTAGGAGTATGTATAAATGTGTATTAATAAAGCAGAAATATAAGTAAAAAATCACACTTATTGGCTTTAAATCTCCGTATTTTGTCAAGAATTATATTTTTGTCTTTGTTTACACTTCAGTCTGTGCTTCAGCCGTATCGCACATGCAATTTCCGGTGTTCTTAACCAATGGGCGGGCGAGACTAATTAGTCACAGCCAATGAGAATGGTCTATTTGTTGCATGGCAACAGGGAAAAAGAACTTTGTAGATTTCAATATGTTTCAACATCATAACAAAGCGGGTTTACCTGTGGTCAAAAATGCTTCAATTTTAGCACTTAAACTGCGAATTAAGCCTGGTAACACCCCAAACCATTATAAGTATGCATATTCGAATGTGTTTAGCGATGTTACTTGCTTCTAACAAAGAATTGCCATCGAACTTAATTTTTTGCAAGCTTGGCCGGCCGTCTAAAATTGTTTGATATTTTCATTATATAAACAAATATTTTTAGATTGACTGTAATTTGCAATGTTTTGAGGAAAAATTGGAAAATTTTCCTATAAATACATGAAAATTATCTTGCAAATTAGATACTATTCCTTTTTGTTTTAGAAAAACTTTAAAGGTGATCTACAGTCCGATCTGCGCATGTGCACAAATGAGCCCACTTTTTGTGATACAAACAGTTTAACTATGTTTTGAGTTCTTGAAAAGCCTGATTGTTGTTTCTTGATCATATATTATACTCTAGAAGCTTGAAAATATAAATAATTGTCGAATAAAGCTCAATATTTTGGACACAAAAATGTAAACAAAGGCTTTGTTTACATACGGACTGTAGATCACCTTTAAGATCTAAAAAATATATTATATTTTGTTGTTAGCATATTTCTCAATTAACCAATTGCGAAATTTATCGAAATTTATAAGCTATATTCGTATTTTACCAATTGTATCCTAAATTTTGAGTAAAATGTTAACGACGCTGTATTTTAGCTGTTGTACGATATCCAATTGCAATTGCTGAATTCCGTGCACATTGTGAGCGTCTGGGAATGAACACTGGTTTGGGATATCAAGAGGAATATGAGGTACGACATGGTGACCTTCTGTTTAGAAGCATTGGAATAGTGAACTTTAAATACAGCTTTAAAGTATATAAGCGGCATTATTTAATACAGATATAACCAAGGTTTAAAAAATAGTCGCGTCAAAATCGCAAAGTATACGGTTTTAATATGGCATGTATGGAAAGTCCTAAATCCAGTGGAATTGAAGTTGCCTTCGATCATGCATTGCCCCACAAACAACTCAGGAATCGTAAGACATATGAATGCTTTGTCATACGAAAAAGCTTTAGATATGCGCGCACAAAACGGATGTACTTATTTAGATGCTGATTGTCTATATTTCACTTCCTCATTCTCTCGCATAGTAACCTTTTTGTCATTAATGTTGCGCAGTCGCCTATTACGTTTGGTGATGTGATGGGACCTCTCGCAGGTTAAACAAGCGCGACTAAAATATTTAGACTGCTTGGTTCTCTGATCCTAGCTGTATAGATCGGAACAAAGGAACCTTTCAAATGCGCTAGTGTATTTGCTTATAAAATTATACTCTTTACTGTTCTGCACATCTGCTTTTGTCCAGATTTTGCGTCAAAATCGCAAAGTATACGGTTTTAATATGGCATGTATGGAAAGTCCTAAATCCAGTGGAATTGAAGTTGCCTTCGATCATGCATTGCCCCACAAACAACTCAGGAATCGTAAGACATATGAATGCTTTGTCATACGAAAAAGCTTTAGATATGCGCGCACAAAACGGATGTACTTATTTAGATGCTGATTGTCTATATTTCACTTCCTCATTCTCTCGCATAGTAACCTTTTTGTCATTAATGTTGCGCAGTCGCTTATTACGTTTGGTGATGTGATGGGACCTCTCGCAGGTTAAACAAGCGCGACTAAAATATTTAGACTGCTTGGTTCTCTGATCCTAGCTGTATAGATCGGAACAAAGGAACCTTTCAAATGCGCTAGTGTATTTGCTTATAAAATTATACTCTTTACTGTTCTGCACATCTGCTTTTGTCCAGAGTGTTCGACCAAAGGGCCAAGTATCAACCGAGATTGCAAAACGCCAAGAGAACGTGGACAAAAATCGTTACAATAACATTCACGCGTGTAAGTATAACTACTTTGAAAGTTTGCCATTGACTTAAGCATGTTACAGACTACTCACACTTTTTCTATGACAATTTTCCGTAAGATTAGCTAATTGCTCGGATGTGTCCAATTTCGTAGAATTTGCTGTGATTTCAGGGAATTGTACCCTGGTGTAATGATGACAGGGATTCCCGGCTGAACCTGTAACCACAAATACAATCTAACTGAAAAGCCTGCAAACGTCTGATGAAAAGTAAAGTACCACCCGAAAAAGAAAATGTTGGATCCTGTGGTTTTCATGTTGGAAAAGCGGAGTAAAGTTGTACAGCTTTGTTAGCGGCGGGAGCCCGTCGACTAACCTTTAATCAACTGTTAAACCCGTTATTTCACTTCACCCGTATCGCACTGTAACGTACCGGTGAGCATGCGCAGCTTGAAGATGGGTTTTGAAATTTACGTACTTCCGGTTGATTTGCGAATCAAAATATAAAGTTCGTCGCAGGTCAACTTTAAAGCGTACTACGGAAGTATTAACCAATCAACATTCACTAAATTTTGAAATTTAAAATTTTCTTGATACGTGTCGTTTGAAGTGGAAAACATGCTATGCTATATAAGTCAACGAAGCGTACCAGTCTGAGAATGTAGGGCTTTAGGTCCTCTTAAAAGCCTTATTTTATTTTTATTTTTCTCTTAGACGATGATACCCGTGTGGTTCTCTCACAGCTGGATGGTGAAGAAGGCTCAGACTATATTAATGCAAATCATATCGATGTACGTATATTATAGGAATTGTGTATTCTTTTAACGTTGAATAATACCAGCAACAAAAATTTCTGTAACTTACAACAAAAGCTGATTTCAATGCATGTTAATTAGAATTGTTCGCACATGAATAGCCAAACATGAGACAGCATGCATTCGTAAATATTTCTAGCTGTCTCTAACAACAGTATCACGACCTACGTCGAAGATGACGTCGTCGCAAATTTTATTTCCGTAGACAGTCGGACTCCTCATTGATAGTGGGACGCATCATTGACCCGCGCCCTCAAACAAAATATTCAGCGGATACTCTTCTTATTAGATGCGCCTTCCCTGTGTGTCTTGCGCACGCAATTGGTGATTTCAAAATCAGTATTGCTTGGTTGAAATGTCAAAATCTGAACAGGACATGTACACATTGTGGCTTCACATCTTTTGTGGTGAAGACATCTGACATATTTTATTAAGTTATATTCGCCATTCCCACTGCTTTTCTTTGCTTTTGTAACTGTTTTTTGTAACTCTTTTCGGAGCGATTGCAGAATACCCGTCCACTTTTTAAGCCATGCCTTTCAAACATGGATACGATGTATTAATACTTCTATATTTATTCTCAATAGATTAATAATAATTAGATTGATAGATTAAAATCCCATGGTGGTAAAGGTAGCTAAGAGGCATACAGTGACTTAGCATTAATAGCTTAAATTGTCATGATAGTATTAAAGGTAACTCTATATTCTAGTGAATACGCGGATACGCAGTCAAATTTGAGAACGAGCTGGAGGCATGCAGTTAGATTAGCATTAGATCAAATTTTCATGCTACAGGTAGCTCTATATTTTAGTGGATACCCGGATACGCAGTCAAGTAGTTATTTTTTAGATTAAGGCGACAGTTAGCTAGCATTAATAGATTAAATTATCATGCTATAGATAATTTAAAGGGGTGTAATATGTAAATATGTTCCTCACAACTGGACATTGGTGTATTAATTAGCGTGGCTGGGAGAAAAAGTTTTATATTATAAAGCATACTAAGCATAATATTAAACATTAAAAGTCTTGCATGATATTTCCTTTATACAATTATAGTACAATTTCGTAATATTGTCTTAGTAATTAGTTTGTGTATATTAGAACGATGCAGTAAGATCTGGTATATATGTATCCAGTGAAATAGTGGCCGGGCTACATGATATGATATTACTAGTGGAAGGGTGTTCTGCAATACTTCTATTTGTGTAAAGTGGACTTGATGGTCGCTTTGAAACTTCCAGTATTTCCTTGCAGGCTAGTTATCTTATCCTGATTCTCTTTAATTGGGATGATATATAGTTTTAACTCGTAATAACAGTTCTAGAGTGTTTTCGGAACCAGAAAAACAAGTTTGTAGATTTACTATGGCATCGCGAAGCAAACCGTTCATCTTTCTACACGTGGTTGAAGAAGAACAACGTGGAGTGATGGATATATGGTGCACCAGTGGGTTACGAAGGGATCCATCGATAACGCGCGGAGGCCTTGACGCTAGTCAATGATACGTCCGACTATCAATGAGGAGTCCGACTGTCTACGGAAAAAATATTTGCGACGTCGTCCCTCGATATGATTTAGTAGATCACCCCTATATAGGGAAAACACTAGTAAGACCGGAGTTCCAAAACGTTGTGTCGCGAACGTCCATTTAAATCGGCCAGGCTTTGCGTTCGTTTACGGCAACGGGAGTGGCGAAGGAAAACATTTCAGACAAAAACTTATTTCTTTTATTTCTTGATTTAGGGTTTTGAACGCAAGAACCAGTTTATCGCAGCCCAAGGTATGTGATTTTCTTCAAAGTGATTAAGCTAAATTAAATTATGTTAAAGCATAAGTATACTATCTAAACAACTGCTAATTGTTGCGACTTTAAAGGTATTACATATAATAATAAGAAGCTTTAAGGTTACTCCACATGATGAAATGGCGTTTTACAAAAATGCTCACCGCGCGCTCAATTTTCACGCTTTTGCCGTCAAATTTTGTGTACGTGATGATAAATCATTGTTGTAACCAGCAATTTAACAAAAATGTTATATTTTAAAACACTGTGGTTGCTACGGGCTACTTTTGAAAATCTGACCTCCTTTGCGTCACGAGATTTGCACGCCGCCGATTTAACCGTAGGACCTGCAAAACATCATATTTCCCATCTCAGATGATCAAATAACAAAAGTGTGTTCGCATTTTTTTACAGCTATTGTATTTGCTTTGATATAAAGCAGACAAGTTGACTTACACAAATTTTGTATACACGGTAGAACGAATGCCTATAACTCGAAAAGTATGGCGTTAAACGAAAAACGCGAACACACTTTTGCTCCTTAACAGTTGTTCTACATTGTGGCAAAGTTTGAAAGGAATCGGATAAAACGTGCACGGTGCATTAGTCTTTTTGTGAGGACAATCTGGGAATATTTCATTCTGTGTAAAAGGCTAAAAGAGATTTCACGAGGTTTTTCCGCTGCCTGTTTTGTTTCTCCGCCCTCTGTTCTCACTTCAAACTGTAAGCCAATCAGATCGCACCTCATCAAAGTACTTTTGGCAAGGTGGTTCTGCGTAATTTATTCATGATCTGGTTTGTTATAAGTGCGTAACAGGCAAAACAAAAACATTAAATATGCCAGCAAAACGCAAATGTAGAGACTTGCACTCGCTGTTGCTGTCTGAGTCATTGCTGAAGAACAAGTTGCGGAATCCTCAAACTGTTCGGGCCATTCTTGGTCTTGGGAAAACCATGAGCCCAAGTCACTGTATGCCACCACTCGTTTCTTATTCGAATCGAATTCCATTTGCCGAAAGGATTTTTTCCTTTTTTGTTTAGAGCAAAACGGACTTGTGTTTTTCTTATGCCTCTTTGATTTCAAAGGCATTGCACTCGCGTTACTCACTACCTCTACATTGCTCACTACCGCTACAGTGTGTTTCGCTGTGCTATTGTTGTGAATAAAATATCAAAGAAATATTACACCAACCAGGTGTTACAATATAGGTTAGGGGGGCAGATCATTAATGAGGTATGGACTAATAGCGGCTGCTTAAAGCGCCATTTGTAAGCTCACAGTCTACCTCGGTCTGCTTCACGCCAGTTCCGGCTGTAATTGCAATGCGCACTTGATCATATACATATGTAAAATCGCGCAATAGAAATATTAAATATATATATATATATATATATATATATATATATATATATATATATATATATATATATATATATATATATATATATATATATATATATATATATATATATATATATATATATATATATATATATATATATATATATATAGGTATA